TTAATATATATATATTAAATGAAACTATAACAAAATTAAGAAAGGAAAAATATTGATTTTGTATTATAAAACATCACCGCAAATCATAAATATGTATTTTTATAAGTAAATGAAAAATTACTACAAAATTTTGCTAATGTTTCCTCAGAATAAACTGTATTAAGTTAAAAAATCAACCTTTTCCACAAATTACAGATGATTTGGAGTGTCTATGTCTCAAACTTCTATCAAGTAATTGTTGTGTACGTCCTGGCGCAGCTCCAGCCATCATGCGAGAAGTTGCTTCATATAAGAACACCCTCGATAAGGCAGACTAAAGAGCAGAAAAAAATAAAATGCTTTTGATTCTTTGAGAATAAAACTTACTGGTATGTACTGGGTTAGATTTTTTAAAGAAGCCAGATCTCTTTGGAAGGATGAGAGAACAGAATTTGGAACAGGAATACTGGATGGGTCCAGATCAACAGATTCCTCCCAAATTGTTGTGCGTGTTTCCAAAAGACAATCACAAATAACCAGTTGAACCATCTGAAATTAAACAAATAAAATTATCAACGAAATGTATATACATCTAAATTACTTTAAGTAATTTTTACCTGAGCATTATTAATGATACAAAGAATAATAGGAAGTAAAGGAATGTTTTTGGTTGATTTATGAAATATAAAAATGCTAATTATAGTATATAGATATTAGAGAGCTCTGTCAAACAATTGGAGTTATCCGTAATTATGCTGATGTCAATCACAGATCAAGCTGCACTGCAGAAACACTGCACTGAATAACCTGACATGCAATGCAACTACAATGCACCCGGATCGGCGAAAACTATTTTTTTCTTCAAAGCATTTATCATTTTTTAATAATTTCAATATATTATTGTTCTTATTAAATTTGTGATGAATGTTAACAAATCTAATATACACAGCACTTTATGGCTCAATCATATTATTTATCACATATATAACTAACTTACTAGAGCTAAATTATTTTCTTTCAAACAGCTAGAGTAAGCCAAACTATCTTGTAAAAGTCTCCCTGCCACGTCACACTGCGGTAAAATTCTTTTGTGAGAATTATTACGCGTCAAGCAGTTGTTTTTGGCGTAATAAGCTTCTAATGCAGCCCTCGGAAGAGGATTGCTGCAATTGATAAGTGCGCTTGGAGGATTTTCAACGTTTTTCTGTAAGTGTTGGGCTTTTTCATTTTCACCTAATAGCCAATATCCGATAACAGCAATCAAATTTGCCCACCAAAAAGCCACTTCATCTTCATAATCTGCGATGAAATTATAAATAAAATTAATAACAGTTTTAGTCTCTTAATGTAGCTTTTATGTGGCATAATGTAAAATAAATTTTGAAAATATAAAGAACTAGCTTACTCAGTTTAGATTCGGACTTAAAAATTGTAAGTTCGTCGGCCTTCACGTTTTCAAACAACAGTTGAACATACATAAGAACATCGGAAGTTTGAATTTTCTGATCATTTTCTTCATCTTTGCTGCCCGGTTCAGCCACAGCCCTTAATGCTTTTTCAATCAAGTGCTCTCTGTATTCCTGAAGCATAAATCACCTTAGTTTTTTTTGTTTGTCGAACAAAACACCTTTTAAATTAAAACTGAAAATTTCACCAGAAACTTACCTTCATGACATGAGCCAGAGGATCAGCAAAGTTGTGCAAACAACTAAATAGAGATGCACAGTCACGTTTATATAAGAATTTTCTGTTAAGGAAAAACTTGGTACCTTGAGGCGTAAGTAGCCATTGCAAATGCTGGGGAACGGGATCGCACGAGTTGCTTAATGCATGTTTTGCTAAGCCTAAGTAGTACTTATGTATGCTTTGAAAGAAATTTGAACAACTTGCTTTGATCCGTAACGAAGCTCCGACGTAAATTTCAGCCAATTGAACGGGTTTTATCAGATAATCAGCAGCTTCAGCCAAACTGACAGCAAGGAGGGACGTTATTAAGCCCATATGGTGATTTGTTTCGATTGGGTTATCAGTAAGACTTAACTGGTTCAGTTTATGAAAGACAAGAGCTAAATCGCGGCATGAAGTACGAGCGTCATGTTTTAAAGACCTATAGAAAACAAAAAACGATTATTCTAATATATTCTTAAAAAATACCTATTACATTTAAAATTATGGCAGAGATCATTTAAAATTACCCGGGTATAAAGAATCCACCTGTGTGCCGCGAAAGCCACCTGCCAATCCAAATTCTATGTAGTATCTGTCTGAACACTTGCCATCCACTGCTTAAGTACAACTCAAATCTACTAAGTGGTAAAGACAAGCCATACACTTGAAGACACCGCTTTAACTCCTGGTTAGCACCAGATTTGTCCCCCTAAAGCAATTTCGTAAAATAATTTATATTCTGAAAAAAAAAACACTGTTTACTTTTTCCATATAAAATTCAGCTAATTTATGATGACGCCAAAAGCATCGAGACTCCTTGGATTTGGCGGGAATCATCGGATCTCCATAGACGAATAGTTTCAACATACAGAATCCAAATATTAGAATATTTACAAACCATAAAAATAACGCTGAAAAACTTATGTTCCAGGACGAGTCATCAACTGAAATAGGAAATAAGTTTTAGTTAATAATAAATAAACGTATTATTAAAAAGTGAAAAACCATCAGCAAAATTTTCTCAAAATCCCAGTTACAATTTTAGTCAAAAACCTTACTGCTTAATAAGTTCCTTCTAAGGTTCAGATCCAAACTATCACCAAGCTTATTGAAGATGACATCAAATGGTTTAAAAACCAAAACTGTAAGCATAAACATGCAAAGTGCCATTTTTGAATGATCAAACATTCCTTGGGTTAGTCCAGTGTGTTCATCATCACTTTCAGCTTTAAGATCATGTTCAAACTCAGGACTTGATGGTATAGAATGTTCAGGTGATAAGGACACATCTGAAGGAGGTGGAGTGTCTGCAGTTTCATATTTGGATATCATGTCAATCTTAGGATCAAGAAGATCTTTGAGAGTGTTCTTTCGAGCAGCCATTTTCAAAGCCATGTTTTCTTGCTTTAATTTTGCATTTGAATTTTGTAAAAAACGAATGTAGTCAATTGCTTTTCGTAGAATGGCTGATTTGTTCAACTGAAAATTAAAAAATAAATATGTATTGTCTAATTAGCAGATTTGTACAATAAATTAAAAAATATAAAAATTAATTATTGATTCAAAATTTTATAAACCCCTAAATTTGATTACAATTTTTAATAGCAGTTTGGTTAACAAACTAATTTACCTTGGCATCTTCTCCCACAATAATGTTCTTCAGTTCTACTATTTTTTCATTGATACTGGTTCTATATTTCCTTTCTATTGCATTATGTGTGCTTCGTTTGCCCTCTCGCACTTTTGGTTCTTTGTTCCCTTCATTACTGATTCTATTGATGGGGACTTTATTTTCTGTGTCTAGCATTAAAGGGATTCCTGTGGCCAAAATATGACTGGTTCCATTAATCATAGCATGAGGTTGCCCTGTCACGCTAACAGATGTGGTTGGAACAGGAGTTGTATACATGACTGTCTGTGATTTTGGATTGATTAGGTGAGCATGTAAAACAACCTGTTGCATTTTATCAGTGGGTAAATGGCCAAGATTTTGCACTAGAAGAGACTGAGTTTGTGGAATACTCTTTGTAATAATTGATGGAGATATGCCAGTACAGTTTGAAGTAATAAACTGGGGGTTTGAGAAAGCAACTTTTTGAGTTGTGGATACAGGAGCAGTTGAAATGAGAACAGTAGCAGCAGCCGTTAAATGTTGCTAAAAAAAAACAGAATTACATCAAATGTATGACACTTTCTTATTATTTACCACAGGCTCCGATTTTAAAGTGACTCTTGGTTGTTGTCTTCCTTGACCATTTTGAGAAAAATTTGGAACACCATTTTGAATATTTATAACAGGTGTTGTGAAACCAGCATTCAAAATTGAATTGGAATTGTTATTCAAAACAGGAACTTGGTCAGATTTTGGATTATTTTTCTGTTTTGACTCAGGCGTTACAGCAACATCAAACGATTTATTACAAACAGTGGGTGATAGTGTGTGAGGATCTAATAATGTACTGTTGTTTATATCAAGTAAATCTAATGGTAAATCATCAGATTGCATTTGATCATCTAATTGCGACAATAACATATCATCTTCGAAAGGTAAACCGTTTTTCATTAACTCATTTTCACAATTTGTGAGTAAGTCTAGAACATTGTATTAAAATTACAAATATGAAACACAAATTTAAAATGCATTACCATCTATTCCGGACAACTCTATTAGATTGAAATCGTCTGAAACTATATGAGGACTGTTTTTAAAATCACCCATTTTTTAAAACAAGACAATTTTCATAATTTCTTCTCAGTTGGTTTTATTTATGTTTATTTGGAGATACTAATCACCACATTTTGCATTAACCAATCAAATTGCTGCAATAAGACAAGTCAAAAATCAGACGATTTTACGTCATTTCCCAAAATGCGACATCTGTAACGAACAACGTAAACTAATTGCAGAAATTACTTGAAATTACTTTTGTCGAATGATTCTTTATCGATCGTGATAATATCTCATGGATATTTACAATTTATTTTACAGATCAAATCTGGATAAGAGGTGGCATCCGTATAAATAAATAGATAATTGTATTATTTTCTAGTGTCTTATCAGCATGTATTTTATTTATTTATAGATCAAATCTAGTATTTTTATGTAAGCTAACTATATAATTTAAAAGAATCCATACATTAACTTGTTAGTTTCTGTTTTAATAATATCATTCCCGTTACTTTTTAAAATGTTTGATATAAGTGAAATTCAGTTCATATCTTCCAAATTAGACCACAGTTTACTAGATGAAATTGTAAAAAAAGCTTTTGCTTTGAATAATTTAAATGTTGTGGACATTAGTACAAATTCAAATTCCAAAAAGGGAGATTCATACTTGAGTACACAATGTAGGATAACAATAAAAGCTAAAGATGAAAACACTTCAGAGTGAGTTCTTTTTCATACATTATATTTAGCTTATGGTTATTAACATAATTATAAATTTAATTAAATAATTACCTTTTAGTGACAAGTTTTTGTACATATTTGTAAAAGGACTTCCCGAAAACTTGGCAAGAAGGAAGACATTTCGATCAGTTGACTTTTTTGCTAACGAAGTCACTTTTTATAACAAGGTTAATTTTTTCCAATTTATTAAATAAGCAACTGTAAAAGAACAACTTTACAGGCTTCATATCCTTATTTACTCTCTTGGGAAAAACTCTAAAACCATAACTATTAAACTCTACAAATCATTCTTTAATAGTTGACATTGGCTTTGAAGCCTAATAATAAGTTACCTTAATTTATATACTATTTTATCTAAAAATTGTAGGTCTGGCCAGCTTTACATGAATTTCAAATGTCTAAAAATGTTGAAACATTTAATAACATTCCTGCGTAAGATGCAACATTAATATAAATTATACTTTCTACAATATTCTTCTTGTAGATGTTACTATGCTTTCGCTGATGGTATCAGTGATATTGTCGCTTTAGAAGATGTAAGTTATAAAGGATTTCAGGGTATTTCTAGAAGCGCAGGTTTAGATGTACGCCATGCCACAATAATTTTAAAACTGTTTGCTAAGTTTCATGGCACTTCATTGGCATTTAAATTGCAATATCTAGATAAATTTGAAGAAATAGCGAATAATTTACATGTGAGAATATTAACTATAAATACAACTTTTATTTTCAATAAAAAGTTGTTATTATCTAGGAAACTTATTTTACTGAAAAATTTAGGTCTTGGTATGAAAATTTTCAAAAAGTAAACTTAAAAATCGTACGAGATGCCATTGAAAAAGAACTTCCGCATATTTATTTGGCGCAGTTCGATAAAATAGTTTCAGGAGACTTTTTTGGGTAAAACTATTTTTTATTAAGTTTGTATGCATTTTGATATTGTGATGTATATTAAACTTCAGAAACATTTCTAAATTATGTGAAAAAAGAGGAAAATTCGCGGTTTTTACTCATGGGGACGCGTGGGTTCCGAACTTTTTAATGAAGTGTGATAGCAATAATGTTCCCTTAGAAGGTATCATGATTGATTTTCAACTTTTAAGGTAAGCTAAAAATCATCAAACTGTAAAATGAACACAGATTAATGATTAAAGTATTTTTAGAACTGCGTCTTTGGCGCAAGATATTCTATTCTTTCTTTATGCTTGTACAACTCAAGAATTGCGTGATGAGCACTGGGACTCTTTAATTAATGACTATTACATAGAATTAAAAGATACTCTTCAAAAATTGGGCTGTGACAGTAATTTCATTACCTTGGAAAATGTACATAATGAATTAAAAGATAATGCATTATTTGGAGTTGGAATGACTACCGAGGCAGTGACTATGTCGATTTTAGATGACGACGAAACAGCTAATATTGATGAGCTGCAGGTAAAATTGTGAATAACAATTACAAAGAATAAAATTCATATTACTAATATAAATTACCTGAAGACATTAACAATCATTAGTAAAATATACATTTTCTCAGGGAGATGATGCCCATCCTTTAGAGAAGGTATGGATTATTCATCCATTTAAAAGTCAAGAAAAACGTCTACGTATCTGTAGCATTTTTAAAGATGCTATTGACCGAGGCTACCTGCCATGAATGTAAAATGAACAATTTTCAATGTCATCTTTAAGGAAAAAAGCGCAAAAACTAAAGTAGAATGTTCTCTCTGACAAAAAAGAAATCAGACAGATGCGTAGAATTCGCAGCAAGTTTGAAATATTCTAGTTGATATCAACATATTCAAAATTTGTATTTTACTTCAATAAAATCGTATAAATAGTGTATTCTTATTAAAGAAAGAAATGGTACTTGGTCATTTATTTCTAAAAATTAGTAACTTTGACTACTTGTTCTTTGTCCCCTTTATTGGCTTCTTCTTCTTTCAATATATTTTCTTGCTTTTCAATTTCTTCTAACTCCAAATTCTTTTGAGCGTTTACTTCGTAGGAAGTATTTTCGATTACCGCTGCAATATTATATGCAAGCGACACTATGAATTCGCCTTCTTTTGTCATACATTCCTCATTTGGAATGTCCATTTTAAGTAAATCGCACAATTGCTCTAGAACAATGTCCATGACGTTCTTTAATCGTGAAGGGATAAGAGGGGGAACAGGATTTTGATAAGATAGCCTCAACGCTTTTTCTAAGAAAGCTCTAAAGAACCGATAACCTCTCTTTCTCTCACACTGATCTACCTTTTTCTTCCATCTTTTTCGCGAAAGAATCTTTTGTTTTCTCCTTTCTGCTATTTTCTCAATCTTGTCATTGATTTCTTGGAAATATCTTTCAGCATCTTCTGGACTCATACTGTAGTCTTCTTGTAATGTTTGCTTTAATTTCCGACATTTTTCTGGCGTTAAAAAATGTCTGTATTGATACCATAAACATAGCAAAAGTATCGTTCTTGGTTTTGCGAGCTCATGAATGCGTAAATTGCAAGGTTCAGCTTTTGGTTTCATAATTGTAATTCTCGATTTAGTATCGTCCGCAGCGTTATCTTTACCCATTTTAGAGTTGTATAATTGAAACTATTAAAATTTAGATAATTTACGTTAATATTAAATTGTGACAATTTTATATAAATATGTCACTTTATTCTGTTGTTTTTTAGGATTCGGTTAATTTCCAAAAAGAAAAAAAAGAAAAGCAAAAGGTTTTGTGATTTGTTAAAAAACTGAAACATTAATAATTCAATTAAAAGCTAGTATTTTTATTTCTACCTTTCCTTAATTTCTTTTTTAATTTGTTTTTCTTGACAAGCGGTTCAGTGGTTGATGTATCTTTATCATTTTCGTCGAGTAGTCGTTTTTCTCCACTAAAAAATCAAAATGATTTTATCTATTCGTTATCTGAAAGGAAGGCATTGATTTACCTTTTCACACTAATAATATTTTTACCACCTTTCGTTGAAAGAACAGTGTTCCATTCTTCTTCAGAACCTTTTATTACATATTGTTCCAAATTTTCTTTTTTCAATTTCTCCAGTTCCTTTTTCTGTTTTTTTTGTAACTCCTGAAAAACATAAATAAGTTATACATAAATATTCGATTACATATTTAAATATCAACGTGTTGCCCCTACTGGCCGAGGTGCGAATTCGCCCTAGTCAGCGAATAGCGGCAACCGGTGATATCAGACACTAGTTCTGATCCTGCCCTCAAGCTAGTTGTAGCTCGATAACATGCAATCACGCTGTTAACTTCATTTTATACTCAACCGCCTTAAGAAGTACAATTTCAATAATAAAATATAACACACTAACTTAGAAATGAAAATACAACAATTATAACTAATCATTAAAAACAAATATTTATATTACCTTCGCCGCCTCTTCTAATTCCCTTTGCATGCTTTGAGCAACAGGGGTCATTTGAACATTCTTTGGCTCAACCAAAGCTTTCTCTACTTCTTCTTCTAAGATAGAGTTGAGGTACTGTACCCCACGTCTAATAATCCTATTAAACAATCCTAACAATTGCGATGAAGGTAAATCTAATTCTATAGACAAAGTATCCACCGCTTTGTGTTGTAAACCAATTCCCAACAATATGGCCTAAAAGAGGCATTTCTTAGTAATACGCTGTTTAAAAAAAGAAAAGCATTCACCATTTGCACAGCCGAAAAATGGACATCGTCCATTTGATTAAGAAAAAATATTCTTGAAAGCGACGGCATAAGATCAACAATTAAATGATAATCTACGAGATTGTTGCTATACATTTCCAACCGTTTTATATCGTAAGGGGTCATGTGAACATCAAGTTCACTTTTAGTAAGTCCTAAAATAGGTTTATTAATATTCATTTTTAATTATAAAAATCTTTTACATACTCCTTGGTGTAATTTGATAGGAATTGTTCTGGAGTATACTGAGTGCCAGGAACGGAGTGAATTTACTAAACTGATACGCAAGTAACGAGACAAATCTTCTTCTAAAGTCCATCCAATATGACATAAGCCAATCGGCTTCCCGTGTTTCCTCAGAATTTAACACATGGAGCATAATGCAGGAGTGTTCTCCAGTTAGATCGTTAGCAGTTTGTCTAAGATATACAGGAACAAATCCAGAACGTTTCCTACATAGAACACAGCTTATAAACATACATGTGGCACATTAACGCGGATATTTATTTCTTTTACAATTAGTTCATAGGGATAATAACCGATTTTGCAAATGCAACAGTTTCGAAATATTGCGCACACAAGGAACAGAGTATAATACTTGAATCATTGAAAGAATTAGGTATTAGCAAAATTCATAGTTATAGATACAGATGATTTGAGCAATAAAGTATATTAAAAAAAATACAAGTAAACTTTTTTACCAAAACTTCAAAAGCTGTTCAGTTAATCCATAAGATACTCCTAAATAATCCAGTTTTTCTGGTAATCTTTCTGATAACTGCAACAACAAGGGTGGCAACGATTTTCTTGGCTCTATACATTCTTCTAACAATCCAATATCTTCGTTTGCAACATTTTCAATCTCTTGCTTCATATTAACATTTTTTTTGTGATCATCAACATCAATAAATTTAAGCTCGTAATATTTCTTTAATAACTCAAGAGCTCTTGTTCCATAGCCCATCTTAAATGGAGGAAAATGAATATTACACAAATATGAAATATGTACCTTACTCCTTGGTAATCTGGATGTGTAGCTATTCTAACAATTCGTGCTCCCGATAGTCTCGGAAAGTCAGTGTCTTGATACTGTTGTCCAATAGTCCAAGGAATCAAATCTCCAGCAGCTCTTTGGCCTCTTTGAAAACCTTCAACAACCGAATTCTTTGAAACTTGGCCTTCTAAGCAGATTTGTACAGCTGCCAATATTTCAGGTAATTTTGTGGTATTTTCTCCAATAGGCCCTAGTAAACAAAATAAGTGATGCGCAGGCGCGTCGGACATCATCTGTAAGTCGTTTGGGGTGTTCTGAAAATATTGCATATTTTAGATTGGTAATATCTTTTTTAAGAAATTGAATTTACTTTATAATGAGAAGCAACGAATAGGGCTACTAATCTCTGAAGAAATTCTTCCGAAGCTTTGTGGTAACAAAATAGCGTGTCACGGTTTATATAGTAAAGATCGCATTTTTCTGGTGGAGGACAACCAGACAATATTGGAGCAACAAGAGTTGCATCGAGACAGAGAAGCTTTGTTAACCATAATTCTACGTCATCATCAGGTTTATAACGTATCGATTCTTCAAGAGATACCTAAAAAAATGAGTTAATAAACCTTGCATAACTACCCACTATTATAACAATTGTTACTTCATGCAGTGAACGACCTGTAGCAGCTCCAGAGTCTTTTTTATTGACTGCATTTGTATTTGCTCCAACAGGCACTGCCTGTATTCTGAGCTGCTTTAACAATTTCAAAGATAAAGAGCGACCAGTTCCTTCATAACCATTTATTGTGGAAGCTAAAAATACCAAATAGGGACCCAACATTGCTTTAACATATGGCAAAGGAATTGCAGCAGCCTCATCAATTACTAATAGTTCAGCCTGAGATAATCTATGACTATCAGTGGGATGTATATACTTAAAAATAAATTGAGCATAACATTTTTGGGAAATTTTACATTAATAAAATATATAGCTTACTTGTATTGTTTGGCGATGGTCTCTAAATACATTAACCCTTACAATAGCTTTATTAAATTCAGGATTTGTTGATTGTACTAAATTGTAATCCATATGTTCCTGATATTCTAATGAATCAAAACCTTTGAAAACAAACTCAAAGAAAGTATTTAAGTTTTCAGGACTAGGGCTGGTTACAAAAATGTTTGAATAGCCAAAAGCAATAGCAGCTGTTACAGCTAATCCCAATGCAGCAGATTTACCGCGTCCACGAGAAGCAGTAAGAGATACTGTAGATTTAAGTGACTTTTCTGAAATAGCCTCTATAAATTTTAATAAAGCTTTAGCTTGGTCAATGGTTTTACAAATATTTATAAGTGAGCCAACAGGCTGAGTATCTCTCAAATTTTCTTTTATTTCTTTTAATTCTATTTCCCTTTCAGTTGGTTCTTCACTTCGCTCAACAGGTGTAATATGAATATTATGAGAAGAAATAGGTAAAATTTGCAACTGATCATTAACTACTAGGCAGCGCTTGCATGAAGCTAATGATAGCAAAAATCTTTCATTAAATCGGCAAACAACATCTTGATGTGCTTCTGTTCTAAATCGCTGATGTACATCCATAGTTATTGTATATAACTGTTTTAAAGAATTAAGTGAGCGGAGTAAAATTATAACTAAGCCTCCTCCTTCCACTGTTTCTATAGTCCTTGCTAAAAGATTTGGTGTTAGTGCTTCAAAATCTTGTAAGACACACATTCCAAATGTGTTTCCCAATATTTTATGAGTTTCAGAATAATAGCAGTATCTAATTTTTGTGGAAGACAAAAACAATTCAAAAGGGTCATCTTCATTAATGTTTAGCTTTCCTGCCTGTATTTTGTGTTGAAGTTGTTTCATTCGCTTTTTTCTGTGACTGCTGAACCCTAATTCTTTTTTATAACACCATAACACTGAAGGTCTAGCTTTAACTTCGGCTTTAGATAACATGTGATGAAGAATAACAACCTAAGATTAAAACAAAAATAAAGCGATTGTTATTCTACAGGTAATAACCATATGTAATTACTTGATCTTTTCCTTTATCTCCGACTATAACAAATAATGTTCGATGTCCAAATTGAACTCCATTTTCGATTAATACTCTTATTCTGTTGTCTATTTTCTTTCTGACCATTTTTACTTTCTAATGAAAGCACGAAAAACATATATTACACCGCGGTTAACCATACAAACATTCACTATTAACCTATTAACGCACGATATTACGGTATTTGAGGTTATGAAAGCTCCTCGCCTAATCTAAACTACTCACCATAGATAATAGATACACAAAGGGTAAAGCTACTCACTGGCCAAAGATAATAGTCACTGGTATCACTGGTGCTGACCATAGATTCTATTTGGAGGGTGGAGGTCCTCTACCTTCCATAATAGATTGGATGATATGCAGAGTAGTACTCAAAATTTTGCATTATTAATACCTTACAGCAATGGCTTCCAGAGTTCCAACCTTTCTGTATAGACTTATCCTCTTTAATAAACACCTATTTTAACTGTATTTATTAAATTTTAATACAACAAAAAAATAAATTAAAATGCTTACTATGTAGGTGTATCCAAAGTTTAGAATTAATTTTTACCTAC